ATATATTTGTTAGAAGCCTGGATTCCTTAATGCAGGTGCAGGCCTGGCTGCCGTGACCAAGAAGCCGAGCCAAATCTGCACTTTGTGCTAGTCTACCCCCGTGAACAGGCCATCCCCGCCGGGTCAGGCTGAACTCCGGCTGGGCAGCAGCTGTTTCTGAAGTTACCTTGGGAAGGGTGCCCTGGAGACAGTAGATTGTGCAGTGATGCACTCTTCATTTCCCTGCATAAGGACAGTGTCCATCAAGCACAGGCTCAGAGCAGCATACACCCAGGGCAGAGGCTACTGGAACCCAAATATCAGAATGCCCGGCACACTCATTTTTATCGACATACCTGTAGATACTGGGGCTTAGAGCTCACCAAAATTGAGGGCTGCACTAAAACTCTTGGGTCCACTCAACAATCTAAGGCCTGTGTTCATCTCTGTATTCTCCTTGCCTCTTATTCAGGATCCACTCTAAATATAATTTTAGTTGTTCAATAAAAAACCTAATTTCACTTTTTATATTAACTTCACTTTCCTAAAAAAAAAAAGCACAGAGGAAACTTTTTAAAAAGAGCAGTGCTTTCTGCAGAGAGGAGGATCACAATTCTGGAACATGAGGATAGTGTGTGAGCAGGAGTGACCCTGGCCTGGCCTTCTATTGTGAGTGTAAATTAAGGTGGCAGGAGACTCAGGACACCAGACTTTCCTGTCTCCGGGGCAACCAGCCCTATGCATCACTAGGAAAGCCAATTCTCCAGGTAGATCTGGATGTGGAATGCGGATAAGGTTTTATCTCAAGTACGGTGTAGCTCCTGGATTCCCTAACTAGAAGAGGGGCCTGAAGGCACAGAAATGAAGGCCTTTATTGTAATGCAGGAGAATGAGAAACCTTCCCATTTTTCTAGGATGTCTATGTTCTGGGTCATACATACCAAAGAGGGGCAGCCTCCTGCCTCCCCATCACAAGAGTGACAGTCCCTGATGTGTATGGAGGGATTCTCAAAGCGGATTCACAAACAACATCCAACAACATCCGATCTAGTTCTCCTGACAGCCTTGACAGGTGACCAGAGAGCGCACCACTACTCCATTAGGTATGAGGTCATCCAGCACTCCTTGGTGAGTTATTCTTTTCCCCTTCACATCTAGATAAATGGAACCTTGAGTGTCCCAGTCAAGTAAATCCTGGGGTCTTGCTTGGAGTCAGGGCCACTGGTGACAAGGGAGGTCAGAACCGGTGACCCTGCAGAAGTCCCTTCCATGTGCCAGCCAGGGTGCTTGCCTGCATTTCATCTGACTTTCTACTGTTTCTGGTAAAAACTTGGTTACCGTCTCCCATCACCTCGACTTCAAAGCATCACCACCATTCCTCAAAAATGACAGGAATTGCCCATTCCCAGGTCCTGGGGCAGTGAGACAGGGGGCATGGGATCCCCAGTGGCTGTAGCAACGATCCGAGTGTGGTTCCAGGAAAGGCAAGAACTGGTCCTCCACCCCCCATACACCCTTTACCGGGTGGGCTGTGTGAGCAGCCGCAGGCTTCCTTGTTGTTTCAGAAAGGCCGTTCTTATTCACCCTTTCCTAGTCAGACCTGACTGGTAGTGCTCCACACACATCTCCGAAATCTCACAAAAGTTGGAAGGAGATGTTCTTTCTAACTGTGGACATGGCAGAGGAGGAAACTGAGGTTCAGAGTGCGGGCTGTCTGCTCAAGGTCACACTGCTGTTTAAGTGAAAAAGCCTGCATGTCAAATCGAGCCCATCTGCTGTATGTACCCCCTCCCCCAAGAGCTGGAGCTCCTTGGGCATTAGAGAGCCTGTGGTAATTCTCTCAGGTGTGTGTTGGGGGTGCGGAGGTAGAGGTCATACTCGAGGTCACAGGATCTGAGGCAGGGTTCTAATTGGCTCTTGAGCCTCAGTCCTTTGCTCCAAACCAGTGAAAACAAACAGAAAGCCAATTTCAGTGGAAAACCCCCCTTGGTAATACTCAATCCCGAAGGCAGAGGCGCAAGCTCCCAAAAAGAGATTCTAGATCGCTCTACTTTCCTGTTCGAGAACAAGGAGGAGCCCACAGTGCTGGGCTGGGATGGTGCCGGGGAACGGTCTTTGTATTTATGTACTCCAGTCGCAGGTGGAAAATGCCTGGGGTCTTGGAGAGCTTTGCAAACATGTAAGGAAGTAAGCATAGGATGCGGGAATTCGGAGCGTGAGGCCAGAGTTTTGGCTCGAAGCTGGAGCAGGGAGAATAGGGGCAAATGTTTCGGTAGCTTTGGCCGGAAGGATCCCAGCGTCCGCTGTCTTTTCTCCTGGGCGGAGGCCAACGCGTAGGGCCGCTACAGTGCGCAGCTTCATTGCTTGGTGCTTTTATTTGACCGCGGGCTACAAGGCCCGTGTGTGTGTGTGTGTGTGTGTGTGTGTGTGTGTGTGTGTGTGTGTGTGTGTGTGTGTGTGTGTGTGTGTGGTGGTGGTGGTTTCGAGTGAGCTCTGGCCCTGAAGTCCATGATAATTAGGGTCTCCACGCACAAGAGTCTGCACCCAAAAAGGAAACCGAGAACACTTGGGGTCTATCTGAAGATTTTCCTTTCTCCCAGATCCATCTGGAAATTAGCGAGTGTACGGCCCCTCAGGCACAGACTGGAAAACTAAGGGCTACAGAGGAAGAGGGACTTGTTCATGGTTACAACTCAGAATAGGGGTCGGAGCCAGAACTATGGACGTTTAAGTGTGGGATGCTTAGAGTCTGAGTTGGAAGAGAGCTCAGGGCGCATGGTTCAGCCCAACGTGAAAGAAAACGCACTTAGAGGCCTGGATGTTAGTGCCTCCCCCGCGCTCCCCCCTCCCTCCCCCCCAACACAAACACTATTTTGCTACAGAGGAGCGGATGGGACTCAGGAGGCCTTTCTTGGACGCCTCCTAGCGGCCAGCACCCAGAGGTCGGGTCTGAGCGGCAGAAGTGCTGCCTGAATACCCTGTTTGGCCAGGTGGTGAGTCTTCCTCGGGTTGAAAAGCAGGTGGCGTGGTTCTACTTTAGGCCTCAACGCCTCCTCCAGTTCCCGGAAATGGAGACGATGTGAATTTGGAGACCCCTTAGCTCCTTTCCTGGAGCGAGCCGTGGGGGTGCGAATCCCACTGGCTCGGCAAAGTCCTGTGGGGTCAGCAAGCAAGTTACTGCATGGGAAGGGGCTCTGGGGGGGGGGGCGGGATTTACAGAACTGAAGTCTTTTGGCACGATTCAGGGTTATAGTTCCCAAACCCGCCTATTTTAAAAGAGAAAACTGTAGCAGAGAATGGAGGTGACTCAACCTTGGGAGCCATCCGTCCTTACCGCTCACCATTATTGGTCCCCCAGCACTCATAGCCGGCCGCACCCGCCAAGGGCGGCAATCTGAGGCGCCCCCACCTCTCCTTTGGAAAGGCCCAACTCCACAAAGGGAAGTCCAATGAGAAGTCATTATCTAAATAGTTCGCCGCAAGCATCCCGGCACCCAGGTGATTACCCTCTGCTCCCTTCAGCCTACGGAGGCGCGACTTGAGACACGCCCCAGCCTCCTTCCACAACACAGCGGTACGAGATGGGACCCGGTGCTCGGTCCGCTTTTCTCCGAAGCGCCGTGTCCCAAGGCGCCCCGAAGTTGGACCAGGCTCCGGCCACAGCGCGACAGGGCCGAGGGCCCAGGAAGGGCGCCTGGGCGGGCGCTGTCCAAGCGGCTGAGAGACGGCTGCAAGCGCCTCCCCCTCCCTCGCGGGGCCAACACGCGGCTCCGCCGGGCTCGGCTCCCAGTCGCCTGCCACCAGCCCGCCCGGCACACGCCTGGGGCGGGATGGAGGCTGCGCCAAGGCCGCCGAGGTGCCTGCGGCGGCACCGAACAACCAGGGAAGCTCCTCCAGCCCCTCAATGAGATTCATTACCCTCCCCTGCACCCCGTGCCCCACACCTTTTCCCCCAGATCCAGCCGCGAATATTCCAGAGAACTGCCTTTATGCACCCCCCCCCCCAACTCCACCGGATCGGAAATTATCCTTTGGAGGGACGATGATACACGCAGCCGGAGATCGGGGCGGGGGGGGGCATCCTTGATGTGTGTGCACACCTATGCAAGGGCGCTGATAACAACCAGCCCGCAATGCCACCACTTCCTTCTCCTCGGAAGGTTCCACACTGGTTCGGTTGTGGGGAGCACCACCCAGTTTTTAGAACTGGGTGGAACATGACAGACCATCCAGTCCAACCTCTGTTGTTAACAGACAAGCAAACTGAGGCTCAGAGAGGATGCCAGTTACCGAGGGCCACAGAGCTAGTGAGAGAACGCGTTGGGACTGGAACTGAAGTCTTAGCAGTACTTTTAGTTTTAAGAGTCCAGTACTTTGGGAGGTGTTGCCCCCATCTTTCTGAACTTCAATCGCAAATTTGCAGTGCAAGGACAGGGAAGACCCCCTCCCCCGAAGGACAGTGAGTAGGAGAAGAAAACAGGAAACATGAAGCCCCGCTCCCCTCTAACTTCCACACAGCCCGTGCCGCTTTTTCCGTCCAAATCCTCCCCTGTGCTGAGCTCCAAGTTCTTAGGAGAATCCCAGGGCACTTCACCCCAAACTGTCAACCCTTACACCCCAACTCCCAGAGCACTTTTGCCCCTCCTGTGACGCCGCCCCCCCTTTGTAGAGCCACCCCCGGCTGCGGCCCGCCCCGAGCGCGCTGCCTGTTTATTCAGCCGGGAGCCCGGCACGCGCCAGGCGCACGCACTGCAACAACAAACCCGGCTGAATGGGGAGTTTGCACCGAGCGGCTGCAGGGAACGCGCGGGGCGGGGGGGGGGGGAGAGGAGGGGGGGAATTTAGGGAGTGGGTGGGAGGTGGAGGTAGGAGGAGGGGGGAAGTGGGGGCTGCAGCCGCTCGCTGCAGCAGCGGGGAGTGGGGGGCAAGGCGGGGCCAGGGCTGCGCGTGGGGCTGGGTGTCCCATTGAAAAGGGAGCCGCACTCCGGCCGCCCAGCATTCTCACTTCTGGCCAGGGAACGTGGACGGCGCACCGACAGGGAGCCGGCCAGGGCGGGCGAGCGAAAGAAGGAAATAAGAAAGAAAGGAGGTTAACAAAATAATAAAAACTGCCTGCCCCACGGCTGGAGAGATCGAAACCCGGCGCAAGAAAGCGCAGCCCTAGGGGGAGAGGAACGGGAGACTCAGCAGAGCGCGCTCATCACTGACTTTTGCTTCTTCTGCTTTTTTTCTTTAAAAACAAGAAGGCGCTAGCAGCAGCCTCACACGCGAGCGCCACGCGAGGCTCCCGAAGCCAACCCGCGAAGGGAGGAGGGGAGTGAGGAGGAGGAGTGGAGGGAGGAGGAGGAACAGCATTTGCACTTTCTTTGCTCCCAATCTACGAAGTCTCCCGGGGATTCTGTAATATTTTAAACTCCCCTGCGGACCCCCTCTTCATCTCTCTCCTTCTTTCCCTCTCTGTTCGTGCACCCCAGTCGTGTCTGCGTCTCCCTCACGCGCCCCGCACCTCGCGCCCCCGCTCGCTGCGATCCCGCGACTCCTTGGCAGCCGCTGCGCATGGAGAGCTCTGCCAAGATGGAGAGCGGCGGCGCCGGCCAGCAGCCCCAGACGCAGCCCCAGCAGCCCTTCCTGCCGCCCGCAGCCTGCTTCTTCGCCACGGCCGCGGCGGCGGCGGCAGCGGCGGCGGCGGCGGCGCAGAGCGCGCAGCAGCAGCCGCAGGCGCCGCAGCTGAGCCCGGCGGCCGACGGCCAGCCCTCAGGGGGCGGTCACAAGCCCGTGCCCAAGCAAGTCAAGCGACAGCGCTCCTCCTCGCCCGAACTGATGCGCTGCAAACGCCGGCTCAACTTCAGCGGGTTCGGCTACAGCCTGCCGCAGCAGCAGCCGGCCGCCGTAGCGCGCCGCAACGAGCGCGAGCGCAACCGCGTCAAGCTGGTCAACCTGGGCTTTGCCACCCTTCGGGAGCACGTCCCCAACGGCGCCGCCAACAAGAAGATGAGCAAGGTGGAGACGCTGCGCTCCGCGGTCGAGTACATCCGCGCGCTGCAGCAGTTGCTGGACGAGCACGACGCGGTGAGCGCTGCCTTCCAGGCCGGCGTGCTGTCACCCACCATCTCCCCCAACTACTCCAACGACATGAACTCCATGGCCGGCTCGCCGGTCTCCTCCTACTCATCGGACGAGGGCTCTTACGACCCCCTCAGTCCCGAGGAGCAAGAGCTGCTCGATTTCACCAACTGGTTCTGAGGGGCCTGGCCTGCTCCAGGCCTCAGTGCGATGGACTTTCGAAGCAGGTAGGTTGCATTTTGGAGTGCAGGGGGTGAAAGGGGTTTCCTTGTCCTCATCTTTTTTTCCTTCCCTTTAGTCTCTGGAGGAGGGGGACTGTCTCCACGGAGACGGGGGAGGGGGACAGGGATTGATTTCAGGGACTTGCTCGAGTTAGTCGATTTGAAATCCTGATTTGTTACTTTCAGCATTGGCCTCTGAGAGTGGCTTTGCCCAGGTCTGCAAGGACTGCAGATAGGGGTGAGGTGGACGGACGCCGAAGAACCGAGTCCTAAGACCTGTCAAAAGAGGAGCTCTACCTCCCCCTCCCTAAACCCCCATTCCCCTTAACGCTGGCCTCGGAGTTCACTTTAACCTCTCCCGTTCTTCTCCTTATGTTATAGGGTGACTGCACAACCTACATCTTTAGTGCTTTCTCGCCAGTGATGCTGGAAGGGAGGAAAACGAAAAAAAAAAAAAGAAGGAAAAAAAAAAAAGGCAACCAACTCCAGTACCAGCCAAGCGACCCTGGCCTGCTAAACGAGGCTCTCACAAAGCGGGGATGCGCTCAGAACCGTATCTTTGCACTCCAGTCATTCACGGAGATGAGAAGAGTGACTAGGACCTGAGTCAGTGTGCAAAGTGCTGCCTGTGTGCAACGGCAGCGGGCTCCTGGCAGAAGAGAGCAGCACACATCCCATAGCAACTCCCACCCGAACTAACAGGCAGAGCTGAAGGCGCTGGCTGGGTGTCCTCACCTCCCCGCCCTCTGTGAAAGCGCAGTTCTCAACCCTCTAGCAATGGGTTGATGTCTTTCCTCTCAGTATCCTCCATCTCCATAAGCTGTGGGCATTTGTCTGCAGTGAAACTAGGCTCTAGACTCAGTCCTTTGACACCCCATGCTCGGGCCCCTTCCCCAAGCCCCACTCCCTCACGCCACCTTTCCTACCATTTTCATCACAGGATGCTTCCAATCTTTTGTGAATTTTTTTATTATAAAAAAATCTATTTGTATCTATCCTAACCAGTTTGGGGATATATTAAGATATTTTTGTACATAAGAGAGAAAGAAAAAAATTTATAGAGTTTTGTACAAATGGTTTAAAATGTGTATATCTTGATACTTTAACATGTAATGATATTACCTCTTCATATTTTAGATGTGTAGCTCACCTTACAACTGCCATTTCCCCCTATGTGGTTTTGTAAAGAACTCTCCTCATAGGTGAGATCGAAAGGCCACCAGATGTACTTAATTAAGCACCAATGTGTCTTACTTCATAGAAACTTTGTTAATGTATTAATGATGTTATTAAATCCTGTTCCAGAACAAAGTTTATGCAGCTACTGTCCAAACGCAAAGTGGCAGCCCGTGTTTTTGATAGGTTGCCTTTTGGGAAATTTCTATCACTGCCTTTTTTTTCCTTACTGTTTTATTACAAACTTACAAAAAAAAACATGTATAACCCTGTTTTATACAAACTAGTTTCGTAATAAAACATGTTTCTTTTTTTTTTTAACAAGTGAAAAAGTCTTCTTTGACTCCCCTGCCCTGTCCAAGTTACGGAAATGCCAAAGGGAAGGGATGGGGGAGGGGGGAGGGGGAGGGGGATACAAAGCGTGCTAACGGGCAGACATGACCAGGATAAGAGCCTAGGCCAGTCCTACCTGAGGTGGCTCTAGGACGAATGTTTTCTTCCCCTGTTAAGCTGCACATATGCTCATACACCAAGAGAACAGGCGGTGATGGATGGCTGCACTGTCTCTTGATAATACGACTTAATATTTTTTTTAAAAATGGCCCCCAAAAGTAAACTGGCAAAAAGAGGGCCCTCACTCCACCTTCTCACCCTTACCCACATTTCTGAGTTGCTCACTGGGAGGTTGCAGAGAGGCTGGATGAAATAATAGGCCCAGGGGTGGGAGGAAGGACGGTGGTACTGGGTTCGCCAGGGCCGGCTAGCAGAAGCAGCACACTCCCAGGGATGGGTGTGTTCCTCCTTCACTTCCAGGCACACGTTTCCTACTTCTCTTCCCCAGGATGCACGCTTTCCATACTGATTTTAAGTGAAGGGCACGTTTGAGATGAATTCCTTGAGGAAGGAATTAGATCGAAAGGAAGAAAAGCCTTAGAAATGTGCGGTTGCTTCAGAGACACTGGCCCATCTAAGCTGGTGACTCTATCCCAATAGCGTGAGCTGCGTGTAAAAGTACCCAATTACCAAGATTCAAAAAGAAATTGGTGGGGTTTTTGGCTGGCTTGCTTCTTGTCAGTTAGCAGGGACGTGATCAGAATGCCACTCCGCCTCTCGTCGGCGCCTCGCTCGCCTCCTGCGTTACTTGCACATTCAGTTTGCGTGTCTCCAGCCAAGCGGAAAGCCGAGCGCAAAATGCGTCTTACAAAACCCAACAAAGAACGGGGAGCCAGCACGTCTTCCAGAGTTAAAAATCTAGTCTGTGTTGGTACATCTATACTATTTAGAGGCACAGAATAATCATTTTTTAAAGCTGCGATGAGCGGAGCACGCCACGGCGTCTGATGTCATTTTGCTAAATGACCCTCTATAGAATGCACATTGAGGCTTCAGTCCCTTTCAAAGAGATGAGCGTAATTAAGGGGAAAAAAATCAGTAAATTCCTCATCGCCATAAATAATCGGACTTTCTGCCAGCAGTGGGCCAATTTAGAGCTTACTTGAGGGAAGTAATGCTTTTGTGATGCCTGCTTTTATTTTTATCTTCTCCTTTAAAGGACCAGAGCTGGGCTCCCCCACTCATTTTTCTTTTAACTTAGCTCCTTTGCGCGTTTTCAGATAAGGTAGGCAAAGAAAGTGTAGCAAGTCATTTATTGCTATGAATATAACATTAGGATAATGTTTCAGCCCCCACAAAGGGGATTTTGCCCCCCTTCTCCCCGTGAAGACAGGTGTTCTTTTACTCACTTCTGAATGGGAAATATCCAGCCTCGTTAAACTCGAGGCAAAGTTAGCCGTTGTTTGCCACAATGCGAAGGCAAACTCTAAAAATTCACAGAAACACACACAATTTTGCCGAAGCTAGGAAAGGGCAAAGCGGGGATTGGGCAAAATCTCATTACATCTGCTCTAATCGCTTAGCAACACAAAGCCGGGGCTTGTGCGGCAAAGGGAAGCCATTCACAGCGCTGTGACAGGCCGCATTCAGCCAGCATTAGTCAGCTCCATAAATCACCGCTGCCCATTGGCTGCGCGGCGGGCTTTGCAGCGGCCCTGGGCTGTCAGCGAAATACAAAATGTAGACCCCAGCGGCCAGCAATCATGGCCTCCCCCCCACCCGCCCCCCCCCCCGGTCCAGCCTCCACCCCACTTTCTTCAGGGGGTGGGGGGGTGCTGGGGGAGAAAACTGCCCTGACTTTATTGACTGAGAAATCTTACCTATTCAACAAATGACCCGAAGACCACCGAGTTAAGACTGGAGACACGCATGAAATTGACGAGGAGGAGCGGGGGAGTGCAGAAGAAAAAGAATAAACAGGCCGCAGAACCATTGAATGCGAGTATTATCTGAGGCTGGGCAGGAGCTACTGGGACACACGTATCACCTCCCTGACACGGCCTTACAGCCTTTAACTTTCTTTTTTTTAATTGTAAGTAAGAGGGTGTGTAGGGAGAAGAATCTCTCTCTCCTGTTCACATCAGGCAGGCCCACCAAAGAAGAGAGAAGAGGTCGACCTGCTCTTTGCATTGGGCATCAAAAGACTAGGACTGAGGTGTAGTAAGAAAGAGGGAGTAGAAGATGCTTTTCTGCTTTGCTGTTCTTTCAGGGCTGGGGATGTTAGAACACAGAATCAAGGGCCGGGTTCCTCCTGAGCTTCAGTATTCTCGTGGGTAACATGGGCTCAAGATGGTACCCACAGCAGCAGGAGGAGACAATGTAAAGGAGTTAGCACATGGCCTTGTGGGGGAGGTTACAAGCAATATGTAAATGTGAGTGCCTGTTGTTATTCTTATCTTTCGGTTCTGTCTCTCATTTTCCTGGGGGCTGCAGAGTTGATGCCTCTGAATCACAGACTGGCTTTGAGGTTTACCCACAAAGCACAGAGAAGTCTGGGAGTAGATGTGGAGTCAAGTTAGACTTTCCTGGGGAGCCCAGGTCACCTTACTTCAAATTCTACCTTCTCTGAGAAGCTTTACTTGTCCACTCTGTCTAAAGCAGAGCTCTATATAAGCCACAGACACTCTCCATTGATTATACTGTTTCTCCTTCTTGGCATTTACCACTATCTGAAAAAAAAAATGCAGTTGCTGTCAATAGCCCCTACTAGATGGAAAAACTACATGGACACTGTGACCTTACCTGTCTTGTTCACTGGTATCTCCCTAGCCTATCTCCCTTGGGGAGATAGGTATTTGTTAACTGAATGGGTGGTCTGAATGGGTGATGCATTGATAGCTGTGTTCCCTGTCCTTCCTTTCTTTCTCCAGATCCACTTTCTGCCCTCTCGGCTCTGCTCTGCATCTCCAAAGGTTGATCTCCATGCACTTCATCACTAGGGCTTCCTTGCCTTCTGGCTTCCTGTTAGGTTGAGTCACTGGGAGGCACCAAGAGGAGATTGTGAGGTAGGAAGGAAGGTAGATGGGACCTTTATGTCCTTGCTCCTCATTGCTTGGCCTCAGTTGCTTTGGCAGGGGCTCTGCTCCTTAGTCTAAGGCCACAGCTTGGTCAGGAGGTTTCTCTCCCATGGCACCAGCTCTTGTTACTGCAGCTGTTACAGATGCAGCAACAGCTTCCTCTTCTTGTTCCTTCATTTCCAGAGGTAGCAAGGGCTCTGCCTGGTCCGCAGTCTCTGGCTGCTGCGTCATTCTGATTCCCTTAGCCCCATGCACATTTCTGCCTCTCTGTTAACCTCTGTTCATCGACCATTTCAAGTGTGCCCTCTCCTCCTGCTGACCCTGGCTGGTACACAGGCTATTCTCCCACAGGTGTTCAGGGATGTATTAGCTTTGGGTAAGATTTTCAGGGACTCATGGCAGTCAGTAAGAAACTTTCTAGGGCAGAGGTGAACCTAGCTCTGTTCAAAACCTAACTCTGGACAACCACTTCCATCTTTTTGAGCAGAGAATGACTTACCTGCAAGTTTGCAAAAGAACTCAGTTACAGTTTTCTGTTCTGGAAAATGAGGATTATCTTCCCTTTTATGGGTCAACTGATAAATTGAAGAGGAGAGAGCTTTAGAGCTGTCAGTGACTATATCAGTGCAAGAGGTCATTGCTTCTCACGACCTTCCAGAACCAGACAAGAGGTGGTGCTGGGGACTTGCCACCAAGATAAACAAAAGCCACGATGCTCTTGAGAAGTCATTCATGCCTTCATTCATTCATTCACTCATTCACCATTTATGCACTCATTTAAAAAAGGGAGGGAACATGATGAAATTTACTCAACATTTCTAGGATCTAATTGTCTTAATTTTTACTTTCTAGAGTGAGCTCCAAGAAGCTTGTGT